TGGGAATCGTCTTCCCTCCAATAATTCAAAATTCAAACCGTTCGATCTTGGGCATCAGGGACCTTGGTCGAGACAACAAGATTCCAACTTAAAGGAATTTCTCTAAGTATCTTGTCATTCTTTGATGAGCCTTCGACGTGATCAGTTGGTCGAAGCCTTCTTGTGCAGGAAACTCTTCTGACTCATAATTAATGATCTATATGATAATAAAATGTGGGTGTCGAATTTAGGAGCCAACACACACCCTCTAATTTTAAAAAAAAAAACTTTAACAAGTTAGTGGGATAGTCTGAAAATTCTTATGGGCCAAATTGTTTCGATTCATTGGGCTTTTAAACAAAAAACAGGTTGTTTTATCAAAATGTCTAAATGGGCTTATTTAACTCAAATATATTGGGCCTTTAAACAAGATAAATCGTTTTATACACCCTTCTTTGTATTAGAATTGAATTAAAAAAGATATATGGGCCTTTTCTGATTGAGAAAGGCCCATGACCTCTTTTACAAAATAAACCCCTCTTTGATTTCAAACACCCTATAGAAATAAAAATATACAACGTGAATCATTTAACTAGAAGCCTAAATATAATATTAGGATAGGGAAAATTTGGGGTATGACAGCATGCGACACGACCATGTAACATAACATCACATCGATATCACCATCCATCAATGCAACTTACCATTACAGGACACATGCTCTCCTTTACATGCAACAATACACCATATCACAGACAAAAAATCGACATAATCGCATTAACACATATAACAACAAATTCACATAAAAGGTAAAAACCCATCAAATAGTTACCCACTGTGTTCGAAATCATTTTTATAGGAAATAAAATGTTTTCAGCTTCTCGTAGGTTCAAACAGCGCGTTAAAAGGACACCCGAGTCAAAAGATACGAATTTTTGAAGTTCAAAGTATTTTGGTTCAGCACAAGCAAGAAATCGATTTCTCCAAAACTAGATATCGATTTCTGAAGTTTTACAGTAACCTGCCAGACAAAAACACGTTGCGGAAATCGAATTCTCCAAAACTGGAAATCAATTTTTGCTTTGACAGAAACACTTCCTAGTTCATTTTCTCACGCGGAAATCGATTCCCCAAAAACTAGAAATAGATTTCTGCTGCACAAAATTGATTTTCCAGCTATTTTCCAAAATACGATCTCTGTTTCAATTAACCCTAAAACATCCCAAATCATACCCAATACCCGCATATTGATCTCTATACATTGTCACACCATTCACACCATATAACCAAACAATTATAACATCAATTTTGTCAATTCCATTGCAATTGTATCAAGAATTTCATCACTTAGATCCAAATATACAAAGAATCAATTTCATGAACAAACACACACAAAACAACCACAACAATCAATATCCTCACAACCTATCATTATACTATCCCTTTAGAAAGTTGGAACCCCAACTTACCTTGGATTTAAAGTTCTCTAAGCTCCAACAATTGTGCCTCTTGCCCAACTTTCCCTTCCTTCCCATGGTTCTCTGTTTCTCTTTGTTTTTCACGATTATTACAATGAGAACACAAACCCCAACTCTTCTTAAGTCTTATTTACCCTTAGGATCCCTAATATGTTATTCCCATCTTAACATCAGTTATCCCATCCAACTTTACCAAAATGCCCTTATCATTCTTTCACCAAGTTATCTTTATTTATCTAATTAAATAAAACTTAGATAATTATTTATTATTTTTCTACTTACTAATAATTCTAATAATTATCCCTAAATTCAATAATTTCCAATAAACTATTAAATCTACAATAATTCTAAACACGACTTAAACCCGACACTACCCCACACAACAACACCAAATCACATATTGCATCAGATAAATCAAGACCACATAATTAAATTACTAAATTAATATTTGGGGTCTTACATGAGTGACCTAGTTAGAGTTTTTCCATCCTACATAACAAGATATATGTCTAAGGGATCATTACTGAAATAGACAAGAGTGACACGGTCTACATCTTGTGTTTAATATAGTCTTGAGGGAAAAGGGTAATTATTAAACATAATCGTTATCACATAAAGATTTTGACAAATCACATGACATTTTTCTTACTTAGTTAGTAGTGATGTGTGAAATTGGGCAGATCTAGCATTATACCATTGACTGACTAATTGATTCATGGGTCTAAAAGTAACGTGATCAAACCTTCGATGCCATAACTATATCTTCTTATGATCCACTGCTTATTTCAAGTACTTAAGTTATGTTGTATTGATCATTATCTTGAAGATCATGTTCTTTGTAAGTGGTGATATCAAGACAATCATGTTGGCAAAATTACACAGTTCAAAAGCATTATTCTTCATGATTACTGAAAAAATCTTTCTCTATAAGTTGGCCAACACTGAATAAGTTGCATTTTATTCTTAGTACAAACAACACATCCTCAATGGTTGTAGATATTTTATCATTCCTTTTGATCACCATGTTCCTAGTTCCCCGTTCTTATAAGATTCTACTATTTGATAATCTCATGTTGCTCTTTATTATGCCATCAAACTTGGACAACAAGTTCTTGTGACTCGTCAAATGGTTTAAGCAACCTCTATCTTGAAACCCTGATTTGTCTTTATGTTGATCTTCATAAATGGAAACCATGAACATTACAGTGCCATCATCTGATACAATTTTGGCTTCATCATCACCACAAAAGCATTCTCCTTTTCTTTGTTGTCCTAGCAATTTGAGACACGATGACCCCATTTTTCACAGTTATACCATTGGATGTGCTTATTGTCCTTACTTTGATTCTTTTGTTGATTTAAGTTTGATGTCACTCCTCCTTTGTTGAAGGATTCATGTTTACCATCAAACTTAGTATTTTGTGAGCTTGACATGCATACTTCTTGAATTTCTCTTGGATCTTATAACCTTTATGCCTCTCAAAACCATCACTTTTCTTAAATGTTCGAGCCTGCAATGCTTGAACCAACTCTTGCACTCCCTTTCTTTCAAGAATCCTCAACTCAGATGCTTCTATTGGTCCTATGAGATCCTCCATCTTCATAGTTGCTAAGATGTCATGTTCTTTTATAGAAACTATCGTATGACCAAATGAGGAGTAAGTGTCCTCATCATCTTTTCAATCAATATTTTCTGAGTTATCACTTCATCACAATTTTTCATCGTGCGTACAAAGCCTTGAATCTTGATGCATAGGTTGCAACAATTTCATTCTTCTCCATTTGCAATGATTCATTGCCTTCTCAGAGATTGTAGCTTCACACTCTTCACTTTTTCGCCTCCTTCATAATATTTGATAAAAATGTCTAATGTCTCCTTTGCATTCTCATCATGAGAGAATTTGTCAAAATTTACATTATCTATTATTGCTAGTACCCAATACATTGCCTTGTAATTCTTCTTATTTTATATATGATCATTCTTTTGTGTTTTTGTTTCATTTGCAGAGAGTTCTTGAACTTCATTAATAACCACTTCAAACGTGTTTTCATAGCCAACCAAAGGTTTTATCTGTTTGTGCCATCTCTCACAATTCTCGTCATCGAGAATTGAAAGTGTGTTTGGAAGACCAACCACCAATCATCTTTACTTGGCTGGTAATAAAAAAAAATCCCTAAGTCTGTGTATTCTATGAACTAAACTCTGATACCAAATCTATTTGAGAAAAGACTTTCTTGCTGAACGAGAAATGAGAGAAAGAGAAATAAATATATGATTTGAGAAAGAGCAAAATGATGAATTGCAATTAATTATGATTAATTGATCATACAAGGTGGATTTAGTGGCGGACCCACGTTGAGCCCAGGGGATGCAGTTGCACCCCTCAAATTTTGAATATCATCTATTTTTTGCCAATATTTAATTATTACACCCCCTGAAAAATGTATGATTGCACCGCTTTCAACTTTTTGTTAATTGCACTATAAGACTACTTATTTTTAATATAATATTTACAAGCAAAAATTGGAGACAAGATGTTTCGAACTTACTCCTAACCATTAGAGTATCTCCAAACGTGAACTCATTTTTGGGTTCTTTGCAGGACCTATTAAGCCACGTCAGCTTGAAGCAACTCAACTAGTTTTTCACTTCAATGGTGTAACTCTAAAAAACTCATATTGAGTCCCACAACTTTACTTTATATATTAATATTTTATTCATATTAAATTTTATATCATTTAAAATAATAATTTTAATTATTTAAATTAAAATTGATATAAAATAAATAAAATTCAAATTAAACTTATAATTTAAATATTCAAATATAAAAATTTAAATTATCATCATTTAAAAAGCAAAAGAATTATTAAAATAACACAAAAAGAATAAAAATAAAATAAAAATAAAACCTATAAAATTAATTATTTTTTATGTTTATTATTATTATAATCGAAACAACATTACATCATAATGGTAGCGTTGCTTTACAATCCACGCTTGCAAACCAAATTAAAAAACTTTCGTTGGAGATGCTCTTAGCCATAATGGACAAACGCATCCACCCATTAGGTTAATTCTAATTATGTATAATTGTTTTTGTAAATTAAATCTATCAAATTTATTACACTATTAATTTGTAACATAAATTTTTTTGTGATCTATTTATATTTTGCATTAGAAGTAAATTATATTAAAAAATTAAAAAATTTATTAAAAAACATTATTTATATATATGTTAAATTTTTTTATTAAAATATTAATATAAAATCTTGCACCGGTGACCTGACGTCCGCCGCCAATGGGTGGGTTGCACCATTTATACAATTTTGTAAACCAACTAACTATCTTCCTTCTATAATTAGTTACCAATCATAAAATTGGTTATAACTTCCTAACCATTGAATTAACTAACTTCTAGTAATTCTAGAATTGAATTAACTAACAACAATTTCCAACTCTCAAATGTAGAATACAAAATTAAAATAAAATAAAATGAACTTACATGAATATATAAAATTACACAAACCAGTAGAAGAAAATTCTTAACATTTTGTACAACCGCAACATGATGGAACTTTTGGAAAACTAGGACAAGTGCAAGAGCATGAGCATTTGCAAAAACAACAAGAAAAAGGCCACCTAAAATTGCAACCTGGTAGAATACAACAACAATTGTTGCAACCACATAAATGTTTACAACAATGTGACTTTTTATCACAGCAATAACACCAATTTGTTAAGGAGAAATTGATGGATGGAAGACAGCTACTACATTTGCATTTGTTTTGTTTGCGGTTGCGGTTGCAACAACCGGAGAAGCAATCGCAACACCAACAACAGAACCATGACAATTTCGAACACCGCATTCGACTGCACAAAAAATTACTCATTAGTTTAGATCCTAAAGTTAAAATATTACATGCACAATAAGTTAAAATTTCAATTGTTGAATAAGAGCTTGAATCTAGATCCTCTACTGAAGTATGGTGTAACAGTTATAGAGAATGATAGAGTCTATCGTTTTTATAACTGTTGTACCATACTTCAAGTATAGAGGAACGAGTCTCTAAATTAATCATCATAATAAAAAAATAGTTATAACTTGTGTTGTATTAAAATCAAGTAACAAAATAAAATTCGTACCGAAGCAACTTCCATAAGCAACACGACTTGCGGTTCTTCTTCCTCCTAATTGAAAGGGAAAAATGATAAGAATAATAATTTCTCTAAAACTAGAAAAGTTCAACATGAACATAAACATAGTAGTAATTTCTTACATTGGTAAGAGAGGATCTGAATTTTCTGTCACAAAATCAGCAATCCTGTAATATTGTTCTATTAAAGAAATCAACAAAATTGACATAGGCAGAGAAATATAATTAAAGGATTTCTATAGTTTCATACTCTTTGCAGCATTTTGAAGATGGTTGAAAATCTTCAGAAGATTTTAACTCTTCCTGCCAGATGAAAAGTTGCATCATCGAATATTGACAAGGGTAGTAGACATGACATTGTTGCATGAGTTGAAAAACATACCTCAAGAAAACTAATCTCTCTTTCAAGCATTTGAACTCGAGCCATTTCGCGGCGCTTTCCATACAAATCAGGGTACTCTGGTGGAGGTTTAGGAGATGGAAATGGAAGAGACGTAACATTAGAAGAAGGATGTTTTGTAGGAGTAGTAACCATGATGATGTTTTTCTATGAATTGAAGTTTGAAAATAGGTAGAAAATGATGGTAATGGTTGTAATAATAATAATAATTGAAGAAGATGAACAAGTCATAGTTAATGTTGTTGTTGTTGATGGTGGAGAAGAAGTTGGTAATAAGTGTATGTAAATGTAATGGTAAGGGACAAAGGAGAAGTGGCACATTAGTTTAGGTGTTGTGAATGCCACATGAAATGAAATGACTGTGTGGCAGAGACAGTAAATAGTGTTTCTGACAGGGGATATTTAATTATCACACTTTCAGCATTTTTCTAATCAAAATCTCCATCAGTTTTTTTGGGTCTCACTATGCCAAGTCATTTTAAAATAACTCATTTAATTTTATTAAAACTACACAACTATTGTCTAATCTGATTTAACCTAAGGGCCAATTTTAAGTTCATGAGAATTGAAAGGGGAGTAGGAAGTGAAAGGGTGAAAAATGTGAATCGAAAGGGAGCCATTATTGTAAACGTGGTGGTGACTAAGGAGAATCTTGTGTGAGTATGCTGGGTGAGATCTAGAAAATTATTTATTGTTCATATAGTACAGCAATAAATAATGATAATGAATATACTAGTACATCTATCTTGTTCTTACGTACATATATACACGTAGTCAATATTCTACCGTTAGGGATGGTTTATAGTTTTCTGCTTTGATTTTTTTTAATTAATTTTAGTTTTGAATTTCATTTATGAGAATTTTATTAAAATATAAAAAGTTTAAGTTTGTTGAGCAATATTGAGAAAGATATATATCAGTTTATATTTAGTTTAGGTAACATGTCAGTTTCTTTATAATTTATAAAATGATGTACTAACTTAGAGTACTATTAAAATAGAATATAGTCTTGTTGAGTGGCGCAAGCAAGACCTGAGACTGAGGGGATTTACAAGAAGGAAGCGGAAAAGACGATGGAAACACCACAGACCACACGTGACCACTGCACACGAGATTGAAACCACGAATTAACTCATGAAAATTAAAATAAAATAATAAAATAATATACAAACCACTAATCTACATCTGTTCTCTCTTTTTTTTTAATAAGAAATCTCTATCGTTATTTTATTTTGAAAAATGTTTTAGTTATGGATATATTAACAAAAGAGAGAGTATGATATATTATTATTATTATTATTATTATTATTATTATTATTACTATTATTATTATTATTATTATTATTATTATTATTATTATTATTATTATTATTATTATTATTATTATTATTATTATTATTATTATTATTATTATTATTATTATTATTATTATTATTATTATCTATTTTCACTTTCCATTAAACTTGTCAAAATTGACAATGATATTGGGTTTTAAGCAGCTATTTTTCAAACTAGGTTTCACCATTATTTGAAATAAGAGTAAAATAAATGAAGTAAAAGAACAGTTCTTATTTTTCACATCTCATCAATCTCTTTCATTACATTTTAAATACTAGAACAAATTTAATGGATTTAGACTAAAGGGCTGAGACCTACTTAAGGGATTGGAAACAATTGCAAAAATTACAAAATATAATTAATATTCAAAAATGCAAAAATTACAAAATATAATTAATATTCAAAAATACAAAAGAATTTCTTAAACCATTCTTACACCTTCTTAAGGCACTCATGCAACATATCTAAAATACTCTTTAACTTCAAAAATATATTTCTGAAATAATTTTTTTTCATAAAATTTGACACGATTCAAATATATATATCTTCAAAATTATCTCATTTCAAATATGCATATCCGAAATCATTCATAATAAAAATGCGTTAATTACCAAAATACAATCATTCATCTAAGTTGGTTTTCTTATAATTCTTTTGGGCCTAACCATCTTGCAATCATTATTTTCGAGCTCACTGAAAACCTTGTCCTCGAAGTTAGTGATGTGAGAAGGGATACAATGGGCTAAAAGCATTAGTCCAAGAGAGAGGCCCATCAAGTGAGTTTTTATTTGCCACATAAATACTCTTTCTACTTTTGCTTTCCACTTAACTTAAAATTGAAACATCTTCATCTAACATATCAGTTACTTCCTTTTTCTATTTTCTGTAGTTAAAGAGTTTTTTTTTTCAGTTCATTTTCCTCTTGACTCTTCTAATCCAGAACTTGTTCTTCATTCTTAGTATACCTTTAGTGCACTAAGTCCTCAAGAATAGGGATAAAATGAGACAGAGGATTGTCTCCCTTGTAAGCTATCAACTATGAAACGTGAAAAAGTGGATGGATCCTGACCGTATTGGGAAGATCTAGTTTATAAGTTGGTGGCCCAAAATGTTGAATCACCACATGAGGTTTAAAATATATTTTAGAGATCATTTAAGACAACCAATATTAAATGATTTTCTACTTGTATGGTTATAGACAAAGTAGAACCCAACTTCCCATTTCAAAGGTACATTATTTTTGTGACTTAGTTGCTTTTGCTTTCATTTTCGCTTTGCTTATTTTTATGTTTTCCTTCAACATATAGAGTATTTTCTGGTATGTTCCAGGTTGTTTTCCACAAAGAATACATCTTAGAATAACCTTTAACATAGTCGGGCAGAGCTGGCGGTGGTCGTGCGTACAAGGCTTTAAAAGGCAGCATCTTGATAGTTGGGTGAAAAGAATTGTTAAACCAAAACCCTGCTAGATGCAAATATTTAAACAACATACGCATGCGATCACTTGCAAAAGAACGAAGGTAAAGTTTTAAACTTCGATTAACTACCTATGTTTGACTGTCAGATTATGGGTGATAAGTATGAAAACCTTGTTTTGCAAGATACTTTTCGATGATAATGCCTTGAATGAGGACAAATTTTTTTTGATGATGACAACTAGTTCTAAATGACAAACAACTAAATTCGAGCATAAAGAGGTTAAAGATGCAAATTAAATTATTAGGGTTTGATGAACTTGACTCTTTGATGACGGCTGAACTTAAATCAATCCCTATCTCAAGGAAACTCGAGCAGTATCAACAAGACAAAAACATTTGACAAGACTTGAAGTATGGCCTAAACATCTGAGTGAATATGTTGTAAAAACATAAGGATTTTATCGTAAAAGTCCATGGCTAATCACCCACACAAACAAGTTTTCAAAATTATTTTTCTCAAGACACATTTTGAAAAATACTTTGAAGTCGTTCTAGATGAGTTGGGGACTATCATAAAAGTTATAAGCATATTTTTTCTCTTACCAACCAATTGGTACTTCTTCCAATCGATTGGAACAGTTCAAAAATGCACCCTAAACTATTAGGACAAATTCTTAATGATGGACAGCGACTAAATATCTTCCATTTCCTTTTTGAGCTTCTTAATCGATTAATTTAAGCCTAACTTCAAAAGTTGTTGGGATCAATGATTGACAAGTAATAAAGGACTTAAAAACTATTCCTTTTTTAAGGCCAACCTCTAGCCTATAAATAGAGAGGTCGATTTTCACTCTTTTTTGTGGAACCTTATTTTGCAGGTAATATATCTTTAACCAAGACATCATCTTTTGTTGGTGACAACTATGGTAACAACTATGGTGACAACTATGATGATAACTATGGAAACAATTGAAGGTGCAAGAAACACAAGAAAGAGGGTTTGAGTTGGATTTCACAAAATAAAATTTCTCGAAACTTAAACACCAACTCTTAACAGAAGAATAAAAATAAATTAACACAAATATTTTTATCATGGTTCATTGTTAACGAAGTTAATCTAGTCCACCCGCCAAGGTGATTTCACCTTCTTAATAAGGAATTAATCCACTATAACCAAACTAATTACAGAACCACAACAAGACTAATCGTCATTGTTGTAAACCACAAAGACCAACTGTCAATGTCTTCTTGAGAATCCTGACTAGACCTCTAGTCTCTCAAGAAACAAAACCTCAAAGATAAATTGTCAATGACTTCTTAAATATATAGACTAACACTTAATCAACTAAGAAACAATCAACTCACTATTAGATACAAGTTTTTGTGTTTACATGATTGTTTCTTGAAAGCAGATTACACATGATTAAAGTATAGGCAATAACACAAAAGCGTTAAGTAAGTTAACAAACAAAAGTTCATTGCTAGCAAGTTAATGAGCAACAATTCCTTGCTTTACAAAAATTAGAGTTATTTTGGTAGTGTTTCAGCAACTTGAATCAGTGTGAGTTTCTTCAAAGTTCTTCAACTTCTTCAAAGTCTTCCTTTTATAGCTGAAAAAAAATCTATTGGAGGGTAGAATAGGAATACCAAATTTCCAGTTGTCTTCTTGAAACTGTCAGTGAGAGTGGTAGACAACCTCGTACAATAGTATTGTCCTTACGCCACAAAAACAGCGTAGTAGAGGCAAGGTGATGTTGTACCTTGTACTATTACTCACATGAAACCTTTTGATCTTCTCTTCTGATCTTTAGAGGCTTCTGGATACATAATGGTTGAAGCATGTGTAGAAGGATCAAAGCTAAGTCTCCAGAACCATGTCATCAGAGTCTTCAGAACTTGTTTAACTTTAACCTTGTCTTAAGAGTCTTTACAACCTTTTCTTTAGAGTCTTCAGAACTTCATTCAACAGAACATTGTCTTCAGAGTCTTCAGAAGTTGGTCTAGAGAATCGTTGGTCTTCAGAATCTTCAGAACCCGTTCATTAGAACCTCGTCTTTAGAATCTTCAAAACTTGGGCAAGAGAACTAGGAATCCACAGAGCTTGAGAATATATCCGAATCTCTACTAGAGAGTCACTATTAGAAGCAATAAAACTAACATTCATTAGAGTCGTTGTTTTAAGACGCATTCTACGCTATGAAATCCAAACTTGTATCCTTATGTGTGTCGAGTCTAGAATATGATGATGACACACATTAATACTTCAGAGTCATAACCTATTAGAAAAAGCTACACACTAAAACAAACCATTAGGGTACTAAATTTTTATTTAATTACCTATGTAACATTATCATCAAAACTTAAGGTCAGATGCAGAAC